GAGAATTTTTTTTTCTGATATTGCGACCATCACACCACGGACCGTCCAATTGCCTAATGGCACACTCACTACTGCTAGTCAAGCTGGAACGGTTAAACTTGGGGCTCATATCGTTCTTTATGATGTTCTTTATGTTCCCAGTCTTCGTTGTAGCTTGATTTCCTTATATCAGTTGTTAGAACAAGCTGGATGTGTGGCTACCCTTACTAATAAATTTTGTGTTATTCAGGACCGCACTACGAGGACGGTGATTGGAGCGGGTGAACAAGTGGGGGGACTGTATTTCTTTCGAGGGGCAGTCAGTGCAACGACTTCTCGAGTAACGACGGTCTCAACTGATCTATGGCATCAACGGATGGGTCATCCTTCTTCATCTGTTCTTACGCAATTTCCTTTTATTAAGTCTGGTGGTACGACGTCAAATAAATCATGTGATGTGTGCTATCGGGCTAAACATTCACGTGCTAGCTTTCCTATTAGTCGTAATGCTGCCAATGACATTTTCTTCTTAATTCATTGTGATTTATGGGGACCTTATCGTGTTCCCGCGTTCTGTGGAGCACGATATTTTTTAACTATTGTCGATGATTATTCTCGTGCTACTTGGATTTATTTGTTGGACGATAAGAGTGTTGTTTCTTCTACTTTGGTATCTTTCTTTGCTATGGTCAAGAGACAGTTTAACACTGTCGTTAAAGTTGTTCGAAGTGATAATGGGACTGAGTTTACCGTCATGCGTAACTATTTCCAACGTGAAGGTATTGTTCACGAGACTTCTTGCACTGGAACACCTCAACAAAATGGGCGAGTTGAACGTAAACACCAACACATTTTCAATGTTGCTCGTGCATTACGTTTTCAGGCTCATTTGCCGCTTGAGTTTTGGGGGCATTGTGTGCTAGCTGCTGGATATTTAATTACTCGCACACCTTCTTCTGTTTTGTCTGGAAAAACACCTTATGAAATGTTATATGGCAAAAGTCCTGATTTCGCCCATTTGCGAGTCTTTGGTTGTTTGTGTTATGTACATAATCAGGCTTCACGAGGAGATAAATTTGCCAGTCGGAGTCGTAAATGCGTGTTTGTTGGTTATCCTGCTGGTAAGAAGGGATGGTGTGTGTATGACTTGGATAATGGTTCATTTTCGGTCTCCCGTGATGTAGAATTTTGTGAAACTGAATTTCCCTTTTCGGAATCTACCACCCCAGTGGCTCCTATCATATCTACAGACGCTTGGCCCGTAGTGTCCGATGATGATGTTGATGACGGTATGCCTTCTTCTTCTAATTCCGGGAACCTTAGTGGTGTCAATGATAGGGGAGATGCTACCCCCTCCTCCGAGGTCCTTGGTCGTGGTTGTCGAGTTAAGCGTCGCTCCTCACGGCTGAC